AAACAATAGAAACAAAACCAGTTAAAATAGTCCACACTATTTCACACTTTACTGATCATATTGATCACTGTGCAATAAACATACAACTATGTGCAATAACTAACTACACCAAAGATATGTTGTTATATGTTTGTATATACTGTCGTCTTCTACTCTTTTTTTGCACCAAGTAGAGTAGCACTCAAATCTCGTTGTACACTGTACAAGGACAATAAAGGCTATTCTATTCTTCTATTCTATTATCTCTGGTTCTTTCTTCCTCTTTGGCTCTTTTTCTTTCTTATCTCCCTTGTTTGTTTGACACATTCCCAAATTCTTTCTCCTACAAACACAACCTGATGGCACTAAAACCACGGGAAACACACACACACATACATACACACGTACACAGAAACTCAATGGGCCCAGGAAGGAATGTTCAGAATAGGTTGTTACATTTTTTGGCCCATGGACCGTCCACCAAGCCAGATGGCAAGTTGAAAGCACTACAGAAGTGGTGAGCTTCTTCAGTGTAGAAACAATTTTAGATAAAAAATATAATTTGAAAACAGCAACTTCTTGTTATTTTAAGAATTCAAAGTCGCACAATATCAAACACAATCATCCCATAGAAATTCTCTGGAAAAAAAAAGACTTTGGTGTTTGAACCATTTCACAAATGTTGTTTTTAATAAATCTAAAGGGCAGTTCTCAAAAGGCTACAGAGAAAAAATACACTTCACCTGTTACAGGATCATCTCTTCCACCACTCTGCGAGCTGATTGGTCCATTCCTTCTTGTACCAATGAAAGACAGCGATAAGCCAAAGCCTGCTGTTCAGCAGCTTCGTGAACCATCAGCTCCCCGTAAAGATATACACCCATAGCCTAGAATAAAACGCACACACACACACAAACACACATACACATACACATGAACAAACACACACACCATAACCAACAACAGAATAAGCACAATGTCTGTTTATTCCTGCAACTCATACAGTGTTTTGTACAGATTAAAATGTAGCTGCAGAGTAAAACAAGGACTGGGTGGTTTGACTGGGAAGAAGTGATTTTTTTTCCCTCTTACTTGGTCATGTATCAGAAAGTGTTCCACATCTCCATAGGCCTGACAATGTCCATGTTTGACCACCAGTTCACACCAGCGATGTCGCACCTAAAAAAAAGAGTTGGTTATTAAAAATATTTCATTTTCAAAATTTCCAGAAGGCAGTTTTAGGGCATAAATCCAATGTGTTATATATAATGATCCACTACTGATGTTGGGGTCAAATATAAAACAACCTCCTTAAACACCATTTATTAAGATTTCCCCTCGGAACACTATTATTTTAAGAAAAAAATGATGTTTCCTAACTAAACCCTCAACATCCAACATGTCAAACCTCTTCTTTAGGACAAATACCCTTTACCACTGACACACAGTGTCCTCTTAAAAAATTGACATGACCTCTAGGCCAGAAATGTCCAATCTCTGTGGGAACCAACGCCTACCTAGAATGAAATCACATCGCATGGATATTTGAGAATAATATTTACTCTGCTTTAGATATAATCCCAACCTCTTTGCTCTTTTTGGGTCAAAAGAGTTGAGATGCAAATGTTGAAAACTGGATCAGCTGGACTGCTATTATTGTATATGTTCTGAGGCAGTGCCAGCTTTTCGCAAGGATGAGTGATAATATACCCACTAAAGCAAACTGGTACCAGTGCTTTCCTCTTAAATACTTAACCTTTTTTGCCTGATCTTTATTAGGTATCGTGAAAAAAAAAAAAAGATTCTTTTTACTCTTTTGTTGAGTATTTTAAGTGGTAGCTTCCAATCATCTTACAGTCTTTTTAACACCCTTGTTCCTGACAGGGAATTATACCAGAGACAATAACAATAAGAACGAAAAATAAAATGCATCTTTTCTCAACAAAATCCACATTGGACCATGAAACCCAGGCCCAGCTGAGACACATTTGCCACCACCAGCCAACAATATATAATCATATAATGTCAAATCCTTTCTTTTTAATGTACTGTATTCTCCGGACTATAAATTGCTCCAGAGTATAAGTCAGGATGAAAAAGAGTGCGACTTACAGGAGTAGCAGATACTGGTTTACAAGCCTAGAGCACCTTCTAGCAGCTGTCAGTGTGAAAATAATAAACATGTAAAATCATATGTTTTAATATATAATGTATAAGTCACACCTGAGTATAAGTCGCTAACCCAGCCAATGGATGAGAAAAAAGTGTGACATATAATCCGGAATATACGGTACCTGTATTTGCCCCTCTCACTCTCAATCGTGGATTTGCATTCAAAAGACTGACAAACTGACTTTGAAGCAGCATTTGGAAATTTGGTGGGCTTACAGTAATGGAAAGTTCAGAAAAGTCCAGGTACCATGTCATCTTTTTGTGGTGAAAATCTGACATCACGTGCTTCCCTCCAAGTCCTAAAACATTAAGGTCCATCCAGAGAAGTCTGAAAAGTAAAAATTTTTGTCACCTATAACTCTACAGCTAACTTCAACAGAGGGCCAAGCAACAACAACAAAAAAAGACAAATGACTCATGTGATAAAAGTGAAGTCCAAAGTTTCAAAAGTTCTACCCTGATCTCTGAACTGCGTGCAGGTATGTGTGCTCAGTGCGAGCGCTGCTACAGTACATGTGCACCTGTCTGTTTGTGAGCTTGAAAGCTGATGCCTGGCCTTTCTGACTATCAATAGCAGCTCTGTTGCCGCAGTTACAGGAAAGATCAGAGCTGCTTCTCAGCCTGGGCCGTCATCATCCTTCATCATGCTCCATGAGACTGCATGTACGGGTCAGCGCATGTGCACGGATGCATGTACATGGTTTTGGTTTTGCAGCAGAGACAGAGAGAGGGTGATAAAAGAGACAGTGGGGCGATAAAAAACCCAGATGAAAAATCTTTTAAAGCACTGTCACTCCTCTAAAGCCTGAAAATTTCCCTTGGCTGCTTTTTGCGGGTGTTTCAATCTACTCCATAACTATTTGCTCCATACTGAGGATAATAAACCAGTTCTTCTGAGAGAACCCAGACCAGGTGTGGGATTTTTGGTGATTGATTTGAAATGCTTCAGGTTCAGACATCTCCACAGTCTTTCTCTGGAGTATGTGTATGTTTGTATGCATGCAGTGATTCATTTGAGGGTATTCAACAAAGGAGCCTAATCGATTTACTGGGTGCTGCGTCAATAAAAGCACAAACACTTTTTACTTTTGCTGCCTGTGCTCCAACTGTGGATTCTCTTTTTGAAATAGAGATTAACACATTTGTTAACGATCGCTGGTAGTTTAGTTTACCTAGACAAAATCGTACATAGCATATTATTGGCTAATGCAATGCGTACTGAGTGTACTATTGGCTAATTGAGCATGCTCTACTGTTCCTTACGTTGACTGACTTATGTATCGTAGCATCTCTCAGCATCTTCCATTGTCTGTCAGCCAATCTCCAGCACCAGTCCCCTACTCTATCTAGTTCTTTACAGCAGCTGTGGTCAACTGAGGACAACACAAATGACATCAGAATCACCAGCCTAGGTCTGAATCATTTCCTTGACATTAGAGGGTTTTGAAGCAAAAAGAAAAACATGTAGTTGCTGCAGTAGAAGCACGTTACAAAACGAAAGCAACTATCGTATTTTCCGGACTATAAGTCACACTTTTTTTCATCCTTTGGCTGGGTTTGTGACTTATACCCAGGTGCGACTTATATATTGAAATGTATAATTTCACGTTTGTTATTTTCCCACTTATAGCCACTAGAGGGCACTATATTCTTGTGTACCATTATCTGCTATTCCTATACCACTGAAAATGTACATGTTCGTTATTTTTACACTGACAGCCAATAAAGGGCACTGTAGCTGGCTGATGCGACTTATATATTGAACACATTGTTCAGGTAAAGGGTTTGAATCATGGCTATGGACAACAGGCTCATCTCTGAATTAGTCTTTCGGTCATTTTTTAAAACTTTATTTCTCCTGCAAATGTATTACCTATCCACATGAGCATACTGGAGATGTACATTGTAGTATGTTGGTTAAGACTGACCATTCCCAATCATCATTTTAACACTACGGTAAATAAAGGTATTGGGATTGAACAAAGTACAAATCTAAAAATAGTTACATCCAGGGCAACTGGACGGAATGTGTTTCTTGAAGACATTTCACCTCTCATCCAAGAGGCTTCTTCAGTTCTGACTGACTACTGGGAAGTTCTGGTATTTAACCTCAAAGAGCTGTTCTTGGTGCTGGGATACATTCCTGGGGAGAGCCCTGGGGCAGAGCAGCTGCCTGGTGCACTTTCACTTACCCCTCTCTACCCTTGTTTCTCTTGGTGGGCCCCTCTCCCCTGACAGCACATGTAATTACACATTTCATTTATGACTGCGCCCACACTCTGGGTTCATCTCCGATAGCCCCACTCCTTAAACATGTACACGTAGTACATTGAACTGATACGAGATCTTCTCCATCCAAAAGACTCAAAGCGATAAAACAGACAAGTAAAATATATATACAAGTAGGAAGTGAGTAATTAAAAATACACCAATGCTAGCCTATAAACTATAGAAAAGTAATTAGTATTGAATTGTAGTGTGCCATTAGGGTTTATGCAGCATTACAAATACACTGTATATACTGTATATATATATATTTACATACTGTATATATAGTATACATGGTATATATGTATATATATGCTCATTACTACACACTGTAGAATTCTATATATATATACAATATATATATATATATATACCGTATTTTTCGGACCATAAGGTATTACAAAGCGCAATATCAATGAACGGGAATATTCATTCACAAGGCGCACCGGGTTATAAGACGTATTAAGCGGAAGAAAACAGTCAGCGAAACAATTAAGCGAAACATTCAAGCACATCCGGATCCCTCTCGTCAATATCCAAGTCAATTTCGTTGCTGTTAATTAGTTGTTCAGTGATAATTCCGGCCTTCGTGAAAGCTCGGACGACATTTGAGACTGATACCTAAGCCCAGGCATCCACGATCAATTAGCAGATAGTGGAGTAACTCGCCCCGCGTTGCCTCCCTGTCTTGGTGAACGTGTGTTTGCCTTCTGTCATCCAATGTTCCCACGCAGCTCGCAATTTAACTTTGAACGCCCTGTTAACAACAATATTTAGCGGTTGGGATTCTTTGGTTAATCCACCTGGAATGATGGCAAGCCAGGAATTAGTTTGCTTCACTTGGGTTTTGACAATATCAATGAGATGGGCGCGCATGGAGTCGTAGATCAATAGGGACGGAGATTTGTGGAAAAGGGTATACCTAAGTTAGACACGGAATAACGCTGGATTGTTCTGGATGGTCACCGTACTGTTGTTTTGACGCTGTTCCGCGCGGATGTTGTTTTGCAGAGAGAGTGTGTGTTTTTCCTGAATCGATAAAAAGGCGCATATAAGGCGCACTCTCGATTTTCGAGAAAATTACAGTTTTTTAAGTGTGCCTTATAGTGCGGAAAATACGGTGTAGATATATATACATATAAATATATTGTTTTTTGTTTTTTTAATAGTAGATGGATCATTTTGAACTGGTCAGTGCCAAAAAAGGATCGGCACCCATTATTTTTTAACTTTTTGACTTCAGCAGTAAATATTCTTGTCAGTAAATATTCTTTTCCCATTTTCCTAACACTTATACATATACACATATACAGGGATTTCCACTTCAATTCACTTTTCCATTTTCCCATTGTATATTTGTTACCAGTACAGTAAGTGTCCCCTCACTGAATAATCTCTGTATATTATAGCCCTTCAAAGTATTGCACATCTTAAAATAAATAAACATGAGGTATGTTTTTTTAAATATAATTAGACACCCCTGAGCTCATTTTAACCTTAAATTTCCCAGCTCTGTTCTTTCCTGTCCTCTGCTCCATGTGTGGGCCGCAGAAAACAGACAGTACTTGATGAGGTCTAGTGGAGCCTATAGTCGCTGGGAAAAATAACCAACCTGTGCACTACACCCTCTGCACTCTGTGTGCCTAACCAACGATTGCCACATGAACATCCACTTCCAACCCTTCCAAAGATGCCACACACACATACACACACAGATGCAGGCAAATACAAATCTCTGT